AGGTCATTTAAATGATAGACGATTAATGACCACCTGAGAGTAGTGTGTAGTATGATTTGCAGCACCGTTTCTTGTGTTGCGAGGACATGATAGTCATAAATCATTTGCACATGTACTAGTTTGGAACTGTACCGGATCGACCTATAAGAGTACTTTAAGAAATTTATAACCGTCATAAGTACATTTCTCATTATAGCTATCGGAACCTCTTTCCTCGACCATGAGTATTGTAAGTTCTCTTGTTTGAGCAATAGTTGTTTTGATGTTGTTAAACATCTGTCGTAAAAGGGGATTATAACGGTAACACTCGGGCTGCTAGGTCTTCTCAGTAAGGGAAGCTTACAGTACAAGACTAGGAATGTCCCCTTATTAACAGTAGGGAATATGTCTTTGTTGTTTACAAGGCCTCTCGAAGAGCGAGACTGTGAAAATGCATGGTCGTGCTCAGATGGATTTTAGAAATCATCTGCTTATTAACAGTCAAACATGGAAATCGAGAAATACTTCTAGACGTAATAAGGATGACGAAGAATCTAACCTTATAGTTCATGAAGAGACATTAAGCGACATATGAAATGGGCTATACACTAACTGCACACTTGTCCGAAAGGACAATTAGGAGATTGAAAGGAATGGTGTCCTTCCAACAAGTGTATTATTCCGATAGAGGGTTCGGAATTATTAGAAAGCTAATCCTTCAGTAAGGTCAAGTGATCGGAATGCCTAGGTGGAGGCCGCTTTCGATCAGTAATATTAATGTATAATTGATATTACGGCTTAATTTTGACTGAACCCTTCGGGTCACACCCCAATCGAATAACCGATCTGAGACGGCAAATCAATCTAAAGGATTAGATGAGTCATTAGAGTATTACGAACAAAGACATCAGATGTCGAGCTTAGAGCGTCAAAGCTGAGCGTGGCAAGTCGAGTCGAGTTTAGAATTTGATGAGACGAGAAATCAAACAAGCGACAAGTTCGAGCTAGGTCGTAGCCTCGCATTGGCCTAGCCATGCGAGTGCTAGGCTAGCTTAAGCTACCATGCGCACCGCAAGCCTAGAATGCATTGCGTGCTAGGCCAAGCATGCTAGCAAGGCTGGCGCATGCTAGCGTGCTAGTGTACTGGGCCACGCACCCAACCGCAAGCATGCAACGCATAACACTCGCACAGCAGCACGCTATGCGTGCTTTTGCTATGGGTTGTGCATGCGTGCTTGCTAGCGAGCAGCACCAAGCAGTAGTAGCGCTCTCGCTAGCACGAGCATCGCAGTAGCGTGCTAGGCATGCTAGGTTGTGCGTGCATGCTAGCATAGCAGCACCAAGCAGCAACAACAGCGTCGCAAACGTGCTGGCTGGCTGCACATGTGTTGCGTGCTGGCTGGCTGCGCGTATGATAAGTGCTGGCTGGCTGGGCTTCCCAGCCTTGGTGCTAAGCGCCAGCTGGCAACCTTGGTAGCCAAGGCAGGCTGCCGGCCAGCCATGTGGCATGGTCAGCTGGTCAAGGGAGAGGACCAAGGGGTTGGTGTTCGGCTTGGGGAGCAAGGTGATTTGGTCCCCCCCTTTGGTGGTCCTCACCTACTTTCTCCCTCCATATGACACTTGGAGCTTGTTGATTGCCTTGCATTTTGATTTTGTTTTTGATTAAAATTAAATAGAGGAAAATGCAAATCTCCCACATTGATGGGAGAAGGGAGATCAAGTCTTCATTCCCTATAAATACCCAAGTTTTGGGTTTGGGAAAAATCACTTGAGTTGAACTCAATAAGGCATCTCATCATTAGTGGAAAAACCTTTAAGTTCGTAATACTCTAGTTTTATTTGGTCAAGTCCCGACTAATCTTCGGGATAAAGACCGCTCGGGACGGGTCGAGGGTGCAAGCCATCGGAGGCCTACGCACGTGTGTGGCTCGAGATTTGAAGTAAGAGCTCGTGAATCGAGCAAAGCACGCGTCAAGGTTAAGAATGTCTTTTCTCTTTCTCTCTCTTATGTTGTTAATTATGTGATTACATGTTTAGTTGCTTTAATTAATGGACGGGTTTTGGGCGGGTTTCTCTTTCGCGTAGGGTTGGACGCTACGAAACCCAATAAAGAGGTCTTTCTCAATTTTGCTCGGACACTTGTTTCATTTTTTGACTTTGTTTTGTTCCTTTCAGGCGGCCACTCTTACTCCTCGAACGAAGAGGATGCATTTGGCCTCAGCTTCCAAGGACGGCCAGTTGTCCAAGGCTAGGAAGACAACAACCTCGAAGGCTAAGTCTTACTCTAATGCGGCCAAGACCACGCCACAGGCTGCTCCAAAGCAGTCTAAAGGAGAGCCACCCCAGCTGTCACCTAGTGGGGTGTCCAAGTCCGTGAAGCCGCAAACTGAGGCGGTCCACGATGAGTCCGTCCATAATGTAAGCAAAGAGGGTAAGCCGTCCCCAGCAAAAACGACCGGCAACTAGGCCTCGACTCCGCATGTCGAGGTGATTAATAAATTTAAGTGGCAGAAGGATGCCTCTCAGTCGCCCGAAGAACAACTCGGCCAAACTCAAGAGGAAGGGGATCAACCGCTACCCCCACACCCCTCTTCATTTCAAATTCCATCTCCTCCATCTTTCTCGGACGGTATGTTGAACATCCGTACACTTCTTACTTGTGTTTTCATGAATTGTTTGGTCAATCTAACATCCTTTCTTACTTGGCGTAGACATTGCTGAGGAGATGCATATGAGACTGCTCGGCCAGTCGCTCAAAGGCACTAACCAAAAGGCTATCCGAGAGGCCATGCAGTGGGCCGTCCCTGAAGAGTAGCGGGAGAAGTTCCGCAGCATTGATGTGGGCTTCCTTGGCCTATGATAAACTACAGCGCCGAGGTAATGTCCTTTATGAGCACTCAGCTTATTTTTATGCTCCAACACTTGCTTTATTTTCATGTTTTTCTCTTACTAACTTGTATTCGTCCGAATGATGATCTTCCTCGGGCTCAGTGCCTTCCTATATTGGAAGGCCAAAGAAAACGAGAAGATCGAGGCGGCCTAGGCCACCATACAACGAATAACTGATGAAAACACTGGCATAATTGCTATGCAGGAGATTCGGCACAAGGCCAACATCAATTAACAGTCCGAAAAAGTCTGCTTGGCAGGCGAAATACATCATCAAGATTGGCGATGCTCTCAAGAGGGAGCAGCTGGCTCGGGATTCGCTGCAGCTGGAAAGAAATGAGGCAGTCGCGAACGCCGCTGAGTGGAAAGAGGGCTTTAATGCCTCCAAAAAACTGAGGAACGAGTTTTCCTCCTCCCAAGCAGCTCTTCAGACGGCCTTAAAGGAAGTAAACTCCCCCAGGCTTAAGGTTGAGCACTTGAACAAGTCCATTACGGACTTGTCTGAGCAACTGAAGACTCCTCGGCCAATTGATCCTAAAGAGGCCATCCGCATTGAGCATAACGTCGAGGAAAAGCTGAAGAGTCGTTTCTACGAGGCCTTCTCTATGATGGTTGACGAACACGAGACGGCCTATTATCAAGAGCGCTTCACTCGCTGTCTCGAGCATGTCTACCTCAAGGAAGAGGTTAAAGCTATCGGCAAGCCTCCTCCCAAGTTTGTTGAGACTTCCTCTGACTCCGAGGTCGAGGAAGATGATAAAGGAGAGGAGCAAAAGTCGGCCGAGGAGGAGGAGGAGCCTGCTAAAACTGATGAAGAGCCGGCTAAGGCCAATGCTGATAAAGCGCCGGCCGAGTGAGGAGCTCGCGCCCCCTGCTACAGTTTTCAAGCTATCTGTACTTTCATTTTTTATTTCCTTGCTTTGAACAATTTCAACTTTTGCCGCCTGTTTTGAGTGGTCTTGTATTACTTTCTTTTTATTTTGTCGTCTGCTTTGAACGACTTTAATTTATGAAGTTTTCTTCTTTCATCCATACTTAGCATTTTTGAGCAACTTTCCATGCCTTTATTTGCTTTTGTGTACGAATAATTTTTGTTGGGGGTATGCCCCTTTATTCGGCATTTTCCTAGTCCATATTTAAAGAGGTTTGATTAACTTAGTAGATTTTATACCTCAAAGGGTATGACGACTAGTAAGTTAATTAAATCACAATAATGATTGCCCTTGGACTAGGTGAATGCCGAATGAATTTTAGTTATACGACCGTTCAATTGGCTTGTGTCGAGTCGTCCTTTGATACTATCTCTGATACGCACTCGTGAAATTTCAAGTATTATATCAACCTGATTTTTCTAAGTGTTTGTAAGGCTTGGGAGCTTAGGTATGCCCTTGCCCTTAGGGTAAAAATACCTTAGGTAATTTTTTGAAATACCTTATGTTTCATCCGTCCGACTTGTCACATGGCCGGATGGAGCTAATAGCATTTTGACCATTATGGCCGAGTTGCTTTGCTTGGGATTGTCCTTGCTAGGCGTTTTACCTGACCACCTAAACATGCCCCTGTGAGGGTCGAGATGCTATGTAGCAAGCAGCCTCGTTTCTGTTTTTAGGCGGCATTTCTGCTTATCATATACACAATATAAATGGCAAAAATTTGAAAACAATGTTTAACTTTTTCATTAATTATTGTCAAAATTACATTGTTTTTGGCCGTACGGCTTTAATTACATTGCTCGGTCGTTCAAACCTAGTTGTATATACAACTTTTTGGCTAAGTACAAAGACTTTATACATAATATTTTTTGAGATTATCTGTATTCCACGTTCGGGGAATAGGAAGGCCGTCTAAGGCTTCAAGACGGTAGGTACCATCTCGCACTTCTTCCTTAACTCGATAGGGCCCTTCCTAGTTTGGAGTTAGCTTGCCATCCTCTTTCGCTCGGCCTACCGCTTCCATTTTTCTCAACACCAAGTCTTCAATCTTAAGCGGGCGCTTTGACACTTTGCGATTATATGCCCTCGTCATCCTTAGACGATAGATTTCATGTCTAAGCGTCGCATTACCCCTAGCTTCTGGAAGGAAGTCTAGAGCGATCTTCATGGCCTCCCAATTGGCTGATTCGTCATATAACATCACTCGTAAAGTGGGTTCATACATTTCAACTGGGAATATGGCCTCAGCACCATAGACCAAAAAAATGGGGTCTCCCTTGTTGAACTCTTCGTTGTCGTTCGAATGGACCATAATACATTGACCAATTCATCAGCCCATAGGCCGCCTGCTTTCTCAAGCTTCAGCTTGATGCCATTGGAGATCAATTTGTTATATGCTTCAACTTGGCCATTGGCCTTTTGACGTCCGACCGAGGCAAAGCAATGTACTATTCCCTGGTCATTCAGCCAATCCCTGAGATGGTCAGTCTCAAATTGCGGTCCATTATCGAACACGATCGATGGCGGAACACCAAAACGTGTGATTATGTTCTTCCAGATGAAGGCAGATACATCTCTCCATTTAATCCCTCGGACGACCTCAGCTTCTACCCATTTCATGAAGTAGTCAACTACTACTAACACGTACCACCTTTGCCCAGATACAGGAGTATACGGCCCCAAGATGTCCATGCCCCATTTTGTAGAGGGAAGTGGACTACTTATGGCCAATAAGCTGTTTGCCGGGCGGTGATTAAGGGTTGTAAATCTTTGGAACTTGTCAAATTTTTCACCATTTCCATGGCGTCTGAATTCATGCTCGGTCAGTAGTACCCCAGGTGGGTAACTTTCTCAGCTAAGGCCCGTCCGCCTATGTGTGATCCGCAATGCCCCTGGTGGAGGTCGTCCAGCACCTCATGCCCCCTCTCGGGCATAGCACACATTAAGTAGGGCTTTACAAATGATCTTTTGAACAAGTCCTCTCCCTTCATCTCAAACCATGTTGCCTTTTTCTTCATCAGCCAACTCTCCTTTGGGTCGTCCGGAAGAACTCTATCTTTAAGATAGGAGATTATTCCATCGATCCATGTGGAGCTTCTGTCAATGATTTTCACAGGCTAGGCATCGATACTCCTCTTTTCCTTGACTTCCCATAACACAAATATCAGAGTATCACATGATACCGAGCAGGCTAGCTTGGACAGGGCGTCCGCTTGGTGATTTTCTGACCGAGGGACTTGTTGCAGCGTGAAATATTCTAGGCTCTCAGCTTCATCTTTCACCATTTGAAAATACTTCATCGTTTTCGGCTCCCTAGTCTTGTAGTCACAATTCACTTGGTTGACTATCAGCTGAGAGTCCGAACAGGCATCAATCTGTGTTGCCCCGGCCGCCTTACACATTCTAAGGCCGGCCGAAAGGGCTTCATACTCGGCCTCGTTGTTAGAGGCTTGAAACTAAAATCTCAAAGCATATTCAAACTTATCTCCTTTGGAAGATAGATATATGATACCAGCGCCACACCCGGTCACTGTTGGATTTTCATCAACAAAAACCTTCCAAATCTGATCCCCTGCCAGTTGTAAATCTGGCCGTGTCATTTCAGCCAAGAAATCTGCAAAGGCTTGGCCCTTAACTGCTTTTCTAGGTTTGAATGTGATATTGAATCCTCTCAATTAAGGCCCATTTGAGCATTCGGTCGTTGGCTTCTAATGTCGTGAATGGCTTCTTCAATTGTTGGTCCATGTAGACCACAATTAAATGAGCAAGAAAGTATGGCCTTAGCTTTTTTGATGCCATGAACAATGCCAAGCCGAACTTTTGAATGGGTGGATACCTAAGCTCGGCATTGTGCATAACGTGGCTAATGAAATACACCAGGATCTGATGGCCATCCCTTTCAGCAAACAGGACGGCGCTTAAGGAATGATCTGAAACAGCCAAATACGTGTATAGCTTCTCATATTTTAGGGGACTGACAAGTCGAGGAAGGGTATGCAAATGATTCTTCAACTATACAAAGGATTCCTTGGCCTCCTTTGTCCACTCGAACATTGCTTTTTTCTTGATAGTCTGGAAAAAATAGCAGCACTTATCCCCTAATCTTGATAGAAATCGTCCGAGTGCAGCTAAGCAGCCGGTCAATCTTTTGAACTTCTTTTATGGTTTTGGGCGATTTCATGTCTAAGACCACTTGGATCTTTTCAGGGTTGGCCTCAATGTCGCACTGATCAATTAAAAATCCGAGAAATTTATCGGACTCAACACCAAAGACACACTTCTTTGGATTTAACATCATCTTATGCCGCCGGAATTCGGTAAACGTTTCTCGGAGGTCACTCAGATGGTCGGATGGCCTCTTTGATTTAACAATCATATCATCAATATAAGCCTCCATGTTCCGACAGATATGATCTTTGAAGACCGTATTCACAAGTCTTTGAAAGGTGGCAGCGACATTCTTCAGGCCGGACGACATGACTTTGTAGCATTATAGCCCTTGCTCGGTCACAAATGTTGTTTTTTCTTGGTCTTCTTCCCACAAAGGGATTTGATGGAATCCGGAGTATGCGTTCATAAAGCTCATCAGGGCATGCCCGGCCATTAAATCAACCAAGCGGTCAATTTTAGGCAAGGGAAAAACTATCCTTAGGGAATGCCTTGTTGAGGTCATTGTAATCTACGCACATCCTCCAAGTTCCATTCGACTTTTTGACAAGAACTACATTGGCCACCTAGTTAGGTTAGTAACATTGTCAAATGAAACTGGCGTCCAACAGCTTCTTTACTTTGGTCGCAGCCGCCTGATTTCTTTCTTCACCATGATTCCTTTTTTTCTGACGGACAGGTTTTACAACCAGATTCACAGTCAGCTTATGAACTGCTAAGTCTGGACTGATCCCGGCATCTCATGAACTTCAAACGCAAACACATCTCTTAACTCTCTCAACAGATTCACCAAGTCATCTCCAAGCAAGCACATGGCCATAGTGCCCACTTTGACCATCCGATCAGGCTGGTCTGGGTCAAGCAATATGTCCGTATGTTCGCCGGCCGGCTGTGGCCTCAACTCTTCTGGCCGACCGACGGTGATTAGCTACTATGCTTGCTCTTTCTTGATGGACTTGGGCTTTTTGCCGACTTGGTATGCTTGGAGTGACCCTTCTTCAGAATTTTTCTCGAATGTTTTTCCTTGTCCGTGTGCTATTGGTTTTACGACCAGCTGATTACATTCTTTGGCCATCTTTTGATTTCCTTAAATAGAACCTATCTTCCCATCCGACCGCTCAAACTTCATCAGCATCAAATGAGGGACTATCACTGCCTTTTCTAATGTCAAAGTTGGGCGGCCAATGATAACATTGTAGCCTGTGAGCTCTTTAACAACTAGGAAGAGGACGCCATGTCCCCTCCTTCTCTTCTGCCCAAATCGGACGGGCAAGTCTATGCGTCCGACTAGGTGGATAATGCTCCCACCGAACCCAACCAACGGGTGGGAGATATCCTTTAGGGCATCCTTCAAAAACTTCAGATTCTTCAAACAAGCTAAACTAATTATTTCGAACGAGCTGCCTATGTCTATTAGCACTCGTTCGACCTTCAAATTGGCGACTTTCAAGATGAACACCATGGGGTCATTATGGGGGGCTTTGATTTTGCCTCGGTCAGCCTCACAGACTATCACCTCTAAAAAGGGCTCGTTCTTGACCCCTTCAGTGTGCATGATATTCCCCAAGTTCCAATCATCTTTCTTGATTCCCTTCATGGTTGGGCCGCCTGCAGCAAAGCCGCCTGATATGACGGCCATAAACCCTGAGTCTGTGCTATTTCCATCGTCATCTTTTTCTTTTTCTTTCTTTTTCTCGGACTTGTTGTCTGTCTAAGAGTAGGTGAACTTGGACTTTAGAACATATGAGTTGAGCATGCCCTTCTCGGCTAGCTTATCCAGCAACCTCTTCAAATTGTTACGATCGTTCGTGTCATGCCCACATCCTTATGGTAATGACAATACTTGTTCTTGTTTCTGTATTGGGCCGGCCCCCTCAAAGGCTGGGGCTTCTCAAACTCGAACTTATCTTTGATTTCCATCAAAATTGAATAACAACCTTTGTTGTAATCACACTGCGACTCGTACGTCTTGGCTTTCTTTGACTTTGTCTGTTGGCAGTCGACCACCCAAACCTCTTTTCTTTTGTTGTTTCCTTCTTTCTTTTTGCTGACCAAGTCTTGTTGAGAAGATGGTTTCTTCTTGGCACCCTTGGTCGGCTCTTCTGTTTTGGTAAGAGAACAAAAATCAGCTGCCTCTTATATTATTCGGCCTCCCGCAGAATACCTGCGTATGTCCGAATCATTTTTCTGATTAGAAAATTTGAAACCATTGTGCCTTAATCCTCTGAGAAACTCCGATTAGGCCGTTTTGTTTGGCAGATTATGAATTTATGCCTTCTCTAGATTGAACCTATGTACGTACGAACGCAGCCCCTCATTCTTCCCTTGGACGATGGTAGCAAAGTTAAGACTAATCTTTGCAGGTGGTATATTATAGGATAAGTTTCCAACGAACAATAAGCTGAGAGTTGTGAAGCAGTTCATGCATCCGGCCAGCAGACTATTAAACCAGTCTTGAGCCACACCCTTAAGGGTGGCCGTGAAGCATTTGCACCAAGTGGCATCATCCCCACTTACAAGTACATCAAATTTTTGTACGAGGAGATGTGTTCTTCTGGGTTGCCCGTACCTTCATAGGCGTCCACAAGTACACTTTTCACTTTAGCTGGATGAGGAGAGTTGAGAATTTCTTGAGAAAACAGAGGCGGCTTGTCACTAAGATTCAACAAGCGCATTTGCCAATCAATAGGCTGAGGTTGTGCGGATGGTCCGCTTAGGTATGCGGCCTGGTTATACGGCGGGCTATATTACCCATATTTCCCGTACACTAGGTTATAGGCGACAAAACTGCTCCATAATCATGCGGCATCTGAAACTGAAGTGGTTGAGTTAAAGGAACTAGAGTTGGAGTATAGTGAGCTTTACTTCTGCTGATCCTGGCCGAGCTGGTATGCTTGGAGAGGGTGTGGTTGGAGAAATCATGTGGCATGGTGGGAGTGGAGGCAGTGTCCGAGTAGTAGGTCTGTGCTCGCTCCTGCTGTTTGTGTTGGAGATAGTCTCTAGCATCTTTCCAGCGCTGAGACGGCTCGTGAGACTGCCTTTGAGACTGCTTGGTCAGTCCCCCAGTCGACTGCGTTTTCTCATTTAGCCTGGACCAGTTCATCAAGGGCACCCTTGGTGACCTTGCATGTCTCCTGAACGAAGTATTCTTGGCGTCCTCGGTATTGGCCGTCTTGCCCTGGGGTTTCTTTCGGACACCCTCTCCTTCTCTTCTAGACGGCTGTCTAGAAGAAGAGGGGATCTTACCCTCAAGCTCCTTTTGGAGCTTTTCCAAGGCAGCCTTTAAGTAAGCAACCGTGACAAGTGGATCCTCTTCCTAATGAAATGAAGTGGTCAAAGGATCGCTAGTGTTGATTATTGCAATGAGATTCTCTACATGGCCGTCCTGGCCAGGACCGGGTGTATGGCCATATTTAGCCATTTTAGACGTGGCTTCCTGGTCGTGGGTTCGATCCCCACAAACGACGTCAAATGTTTCGGGGTTTTTTGGAATCCCTCGGGATACAGGTCTTGAATACAGCCGGACGGTCTTGGATACCTGCAAACTTATCATCTTGGGAAAAGACGTTTTCGCCATGCTCAGTGTCGTGATTTGAATAACTTTATTAACTATGTAGGTCTTATAAATTTTGGATCTAATGGTAATCCATTTACTTGGAGCAATGCTCGTCAGGGTGCTACTTTAATCAAGGAACGCCTTGATCGTGCAATACAGGTTGGTTGGAGCAATTCCTCATACAAAGGTACAACATCTCCCCTTTACGTATTCTGATCATGCTCCAATTCTTATAGATTGTACAAATCCTACGGTTAGTGGTCCATTTCCTTTAAGATGCAAAGAAGTTAAATTTGTTTATCTCATCCAGATTTTATTTGCTAATTTTTTCACAAGTAATTGGTTAACACCAAATGATAATTATTTGCTTGGTTTAAAAAACTTTCATACTAAAGTCAAGGACGGGAATCACAATATATTCGGAAATTTAAAATAAAGAAAGGATAGACTTTTAGCAGATTGGGTGGTATCCAAACTTATCTTGCTAGAAAACATTCAACTTTGTAATTAATTTAGAAAAGGATTGATTATTAGAATTAAAAGATATTATAAAAAGGAGAGGATAATACGGGCTCAAAAGGCCATGATAAATTGGCGTAGGTATGGAGATTTCAATACTAAATATTTTCAAATTATAGCAAATAAAAAAAAAAAAAAAAAAAAAAAAAAAAAAAGTAGAGGAAAAAAGCACTTGCCTTCAAGATTCTGATAATAATTGGGTAACAGATGATTTAGTTTTGAAAAATATGGCAACAGAGTTTTACAAGAATATTTTTCAATCGAAAATAAAAAATAAAGGAGGAGCAGGTTCTTTTTTTTTTCCCAAAAAACAGGCTATCTCATACTGATGATCAATTTTAGCTTTATTTAAGCCAGCCTTTGAAGAAGTTAAGAGTTGTCTGTTTGGTATGGAGCCTATGAAATGCCCAGGGCCTGATGGATTGCAACCAAGGTTCTTTCAAGCTCACTGGGATTCTTTAGATGAGATTGTTCATAAATTTTGTGAGTGAAGTTTTGCTCATAGCTCTTTTCCAATACTAATATATAAATCCTACATCATCTCCTTAATACCCAAGTTGGATAATCCAACTAATTTATCCCAGTTTAGGCCTACAACACCATGTATAAATTGATTACTAAGCTTATTTCTTCTAAGCTTCACCCTTATTTGCATGATCTTATTAGTCCTTTACAATCGAGTTTTATACAGGGTAGGGGAATTGGGGATAATATCATTATCATAAAATAGATGGCTCATATTTTTTTATAAGGCAAAGACTGGTAAAAATATCATGGCCTTAAAACTTAATATCTCTCAAAAGCATATGATAGCCTAGAGTGGAATTTTATTGAAGAAACCTGCTTGGTTTTAATTTTCCCACAAATCTAATGAAGCTTATTATGTTTTGCATTGCCACACCACAAATTTCAGTTCTATTGAATGGAGAAATCACCAATGAATTTTGCCCTTCAAGGGGTATTAGGCAAGGTGATCTAATGTCAATCATGTCATCATAAATTTTTGTGCTGTGTCTTGAGCGTTTATCGCTTTGATTGAAGAAAAGGTGGGACAAAAACTCTGGAAACCAATTAAGGTATCTCAATCTATTTATTTGTCTCATATTTTTTATGCGGATGATGTGTTTATGTTTGGTCAAGCATAACTAAGTCAAATATTAAAGTTATGATGGATGTTTTATCTTAATTTGGGGATATGTATGGGTTAAGGGTAAATAATCAAGCTAAATCAATTGTTATTTTTCCTAAGAAAATGTGCCATAACATAACATTCAATTGGACCAAATCAAGGAGTTTAGTTTTCTCTTCTTCTATTTCCTTTGGTAGGTACTTAGGAGTTGAAATTAATCCTAATAAGTTGAAAAAAGGGGATTAATTTGGTCTCCTTGAAAAAACCTTTGCTAGGATTAAGGGTTGGCAATCAAAGTTGCTTAATATGGCCAGAAGATGCACTCTTGTAAAATTTGTTTTTATCTTCTTTCGCGGTTTATTTAATGCAAACAAGTCTTCTTCCTTATTCTATTTTGGATGATATAGAAAAGCAATGCAGTAAATTTTTATGGAATAAGGTGGATAGAACTAAGTACTCCTCTAGACTAAGTTGGAATCACATTACCAAACCTATGGAAATAGGGCGTCTAGGGATTAGGAGACTTAAATTATGGAATTTGTCCTTCATGGCTAAGTTAGGATGGACTATTCTTGCTTGAATTTTTAATGAGAGATATTTAAAGAGAAGTGCCCTTTTTTTTTGTAATAGTAGTGCTTCCCACTCTCAAATATGGAAGGATATTTTAAAGGAAAGGCATTTATTAGCTTCGGGTTTAAAAATAGGAAGTAGAAATGGTAAGACTACTTCTCTTTGGTATCATCGTTGGATTGGTAATGCTCCCTTGTATACTCTTATCAGTGTTCAAGTTCCTAATTCTAAAGGTCATTGGAATGTTGCAAATATAATTAGAAATGGATCTTGGTATTTGAATGATATTTTGCATCTCTTACCCTAACCAATTGTTGACATGATCAAGGCTACTCCTTTATCTAGAAGTAGTACTGTCAAAAACCGAACCGAAATGGTCAAACCGAACCGATTCAAACCGATCCGAATGAGAACCGAACCGATTAAAAACCGAATTTTTGAAACCGAAAACCGACCCGAACCGCATTTTAGTAAACCCGAAACCGAACCGATCCGAGTAATGTTAAACCGTTTAAGAACCGAACCAAATCTAAACCGAACTGAAAATGAACCGAACCGTTTCTAACCCGAAACCGTTTGAACTGGCATAAAAACCGTTTACATCGAACAGTTAACAAACTGCAAACCGTTTGCACCGAACCGTTTATAACCCGAACCGTTTATAAACCAAACCGCTTATAAACCGAACTGTTTATGAACCGAATCGCTTATAAATCGAACCGTTTACAAACCACTTACAACAACTCATCAAATCATGATTATGACACTATTAACTAAATGATCAAATAAGAAGCAGATAATAATCTGATGGTAAAACAATAATACATTAATGCATTAAACTTTTATAATCTACTTCGTAATAAACTAGTAAGATCAGTATGGCTAAACTTGAAACATAACATGATATGTATTTATAAAATTAATGAGAATTTGCATATAATATGATGTCTCAATATGAAGTGATGAAGTCTCGGCTTGATATAAAACTTGTTAACCAGCAAAAGGTTAGAAAGTAGTATAAAATTTCAAACCAAAACTGTTTAATTGCCCGAATCCAAACGACTCGATAAAAAACCAATTATTTGAAATCAAAAACAGACCCGAACCGTAATTTAGTAAACCTGAAATGAAACCGATTCAAATAATGTTTAATTGTAGAAGAACCGAACCCGTTAACGAACCGAACAAGTAATAAACCGAACTAAAATAAAACTGAACCAAAAAAGAACCGTACCGTTTCTAACCCGAAACTGTTTGAACCGGGATAAAAACAGTTTACACCGAACCGTTAACAAACCGCAACCCGTCTGCACCAAACCGTTTACTACCCGGACCGTTTACAACCCGAACAGAATTTAAACCGTTCAATAATAAACCGAAACCTAATCAAACCGATAATTGTTTAAACCGAACTGAAACCGACCCGTAAGACATTTGAATCGATTTCAAACTGACCCAATTTCAAACATAACCAAATTCAAACCGAACCGAAACCGAACTGTCAAACCGTTTTGACATTACTATCTAGAAGGAATGATATGGAGGATTTCATAATCTGGGATTTTAGTAAATCTGGCAACTTCACTATTAAATCTACTTACCATCATTTGTTAAAAGATTCTTGTACTCCTTCTACTTGTTTGCATTCTTGGAACGTTTTATATGGAAGATTCATGCCCCCTTTTAAGTATAGGATGTTTGTTTGGAATTGTGCTCACTCTATTTTACCTGTAGCCCTGAGTTACTTTCAGTTTATATGCCCTTAATCTCTTCGATGTGTTTAAGATGCAATTTGTATTCAGAATCACATATTCATATTTTCAGGGATTGTTTCTCATCTTCTATTTTGTGAAATGATATATTTGCTAGGGTGTACCAACCATCCAAGTTTGCGTTTTATGTTTTAAAAAATGCAAATTGGAAGGATTAGATGAATTACAACTTAAGCATGGACAGGACCATTGGTCTCAAAGAAGTATCATGGTTTTTGAGAATAAAAACATTTCTCCTTCTCTGTTCACAAAATTTCTCCTAGATTACCAATTTAGTAAGACTATTTTGCAGGATGCCAGGCATGGAGATGGAAAGAAGGATGGTCAGCCATCTAGCATGAAATGGGAAGCTCCGAAGGAAGGCTTTTCAAGATTAATACAGATGGAGCTAGGATGAATTCAACAATAGCTTCTGGTGGGGGGTTAAAAGGCGTTCAGATGGCACTTGGTATGTTGGTTTCTCATGCAAATATAATGTTGTCTCTCCCCTATCTGCTGAATTATATTCCTTAAATGATGGATTGTCAATTGCTGATGATTTAAGGGTTGAAAAGGTAGAGATTGAGATTGAGATTGATGCTGAGTCTCTAAGGACCATGTTGCTGACTTTAGGCCCTAATCCCCACCACGAATTAGCAGCAGCTATTTGTGATGTTGTTGTAGTCTTGCGTAGGTTTGAGGTTGCTATCATTTCACATGTGCCCAGGGAGAAGAATGAATTAGCACATAAGCTTGCGGTTTATGGAAAGGATATGGCTCTGTATGAATCAGACCTGGAAGGAGTGGCTGCACATTGAGGTGTGCCAAAATCAATTCCCATAAATATCACACCCTACCTTTCCTTTACACCTACCCTAGTGTGGTCTACGTTTGTTGCGTCTCTTATCTATTGTTCTTAGTTTTTACTTTTTCAAACTTCTTCAATTTCAGATTTCTGCCTTCAAGTTTTGGATTGGTTGATCGTTTCTGATCGGATGATTGTTTGTTTAATTCAATCCCTGAAGAATTAGGGTTTCGATTGAGTTATTAATGTTTGATTTCTCAGAATTTTATCGGTGATCTTTCTGATTGTTGCTGCTTTCTTCCTTGTTTCAGATCGATCAGTCGGATATTTGCTTATTTTGTGAACGAGAGATTGTTGAATTTATTGCTGAAGAATTAAGGTTGATTATTGATTTCCCGAATTTGCATCAATTCGATTTTTTGACGTTTGATGTTTTTGAAGTATATCGGCTGATTTGTTGATTGTTGCTGCTTTTTTTCTTATTCGGATTGATCAGTATTATAACAAGATTTGCAAGCGGGAGATTATTAATATTATTGCTGAAGAATTAAGGTTGATTATCGATTTTTTCTGAATTTACTTCGGTTTGAATTATTGATGTTCAATTTCTGCGAATTGTATCGGCTGTTTTGTTGATTGTTGCTACTTTCATCCTTATTTTGGATTGTTTAGTATAGTAGTTGCAAAATTTGTGAGCGGGAGGTTGTTGATTCTATTGCCAAAGAATTGTGTCGGATCATCGATATCTTAGAATTTACATCGGTTTGATTTGATTCGATTATATTATAGACTTAATTTTGTAATATCACTAGAGTATTAAGTTTTGGTTCAATATTTGGAGGATATTTTTTAGTCGATTTTTGATCAAATAGGCTTTGCTGCGGATTGCAATTTGCATAAAAGGCTCGCCCTAGATGAATATATCATTCTTTCGATTTGTCGTTTCCAATGTTAATGCAGATGAATATATTAAAGGTCTTTCGATTTGTCGTTTAGGCTGTTTCTGCGTTTTGTAGTAGCTGTTAACCTGGAAAAATTCGAAGTCTTCTTATGGGTTTGTTTATAACAATCAATATTAATTTCCACCAAAAAAAAATCAATATTAATTAATTTGTGGAGTTCGTTTTTTGTATTGTTCAATTTCATATTTCTGTTATTTCCAGATTGGTTCATCCTTTGTGATGGGAGGCAATTTGTTTGATTTGATGATTTTTATCTGTTAATTTCCCGAATAATGTTGACTGGTTTGTTGTTTGTTGTTTGTTGTTTGTTGTTGCCTTCTTCACTTATTTTGGATTGATGAGTATAATATCTGCATATTTGTCAGCAAGAGGTTGTTGATATTATTCTTGAAGAAATTAGGGTTTATCGATTTCTCTGATTTTACAAGGTTTCAATTTTTGTGATTGAATCCTTAGAATTATATTTTGGCTAACTTGTTGTTGTTAATGCGATCTTTCTTATTTCGTATTGATCAGTATAATAAATAGCAAGATTTTCAAGGAGGTTAATTCTAGGAAATTTTGACTTTTGCTACCACAAAAAACCTTGAGTTTCATTTTTGCTACCCCTTAAATTTTTTTTTATTTTACTACCACCTAAAAACACCTTTGTTAAAATTTGCTACCACTTAACGGAATCCGTTAAGATTCTGTTAAGTTTATTAAAAAAAATAAAAATTAAAATGTATAAAAAAAAAAAAAAAAAAAAAAAAAAAAAAAAAAAAAAAACCAACCACCCTTAATTGCGCCCCCTCCCGTCAGCCACCCTCCCCCTTCCCCTCTGCCGGCGGCCAAAACTTGGGCCAACGTCGGCGAGCCATCCCAATCCCTTTCCCCCACCAACGCCGGCGACCCCCACCTACGCAGCCACCCCCAATCCCTTTCCCTCTCCTACGCAGCCACCCCCTCGCTTTTCCCCCTCTTGCTGCCCCGACCCCCACCCTGAACCGGAAACCACCCCCCTCCCCATTCGCCCCACCGGAATCAGCCCCCCTCCCCATTCCCCCACCGAAATCGACCCCCCTTCCCTTCCCTACCCTTTTCGGAAACCCCAACTACCCCACCCTCGAAACTCTCACCGTCGCCAGTTGGGGTTATGGGGTAGTGCATCGATTTTGGGGAGCGGCAGGGGAAGGGGAGATGCGGGACAGGTGGCTAGGGGGTGGAGGGGGAGTGGCAGGGGAAGGGGATTGGTGGCTGGGGAAGGAGGAGAGAGAGGCAGGGGAAGGGGATTGGTGGCTGGGGAAGGAGGAGAGAGAGGGGCAGGGGTGAAGTGGGGCCCACAAACGGCAAAACTAACAGCTTCCGTCAACTGGTAGCGAATTTTAACAAAGGTGTTTTTAGGTGGTAGTAAAATAAAAAAAAAAAAATTAAGGGGTAGCAAAAATGAAACTCAAGGTTTTTTTGTGGTAGCAAAAGTCAAAATTTCCTTAATTCTATTGCCGAAGAATCAAGGTTGATCATTGATTTCTCCGAATTTACATCGGTTTGATTTAATAAAAATTTAATCATCAAATCAATTTTGAAATTTGAAATTTAACTAAAGTACTCAATTTTGATTCAACTTGTAGAGGATTATTTGGTTTATTTTTGATGAGCATAGTTATGTGTTGGCAGTTGATTAATCGGTGATTCTTGATCAAGTATGCTAACTGCAATTCGCATCAAGGTTTGTGCTAGACGATGATTTGATCTATGAAGTTGATTGAGTGCATAATTCTTTCGATTCTATGTTTTGAATGTTGTTGTGTTGCTTGCAGTTGCAGCCTCCTGAAATTCGCGGGATCTACAGAGCTGGTTAATATTAAAGTTATGTTGACTTGATTTTCTAATTGGAATGTTGCTGTGTTTTGTAGTCGCATGAACTCTTGCAGATTTCAGGCGTTCGATTTTTATCAACTTAATTTGGACATCAGAAGTCTTCCTTATCTCGTTAAAAAATAATCTATTTTTGGAGTTTATTTTACTTATTATTAAATTTCAAATTTGATGATGTTGATTCTAAACTGCTGACATTTCCTATAAATATTATCTGCAGTATTCTATTAGCAATGACAGTTTGATTTTCCCTGTGGTTAGGTAATCTGTCGTATGACCTCTGGTTTGCCTTCAATATGTTCAATGAATATTGCTGAGATTTTCAAACTTCAAAATTAACTTTCAGCGTTTCCAAAATTGTTTTTATGTGAGCTTATCCTATCTTAACTTTGTAAATAGTTAGTGCAATTATCCCTGCTTCTGATATACGAACATCAATATTGCGAAATATAAGAGGGCTAGAAGCTGTTGATTGGGAATACAATGATATGGTAAATTCCTAGGAATAGATTTTGAGGTTCAAGATTCCCAATATTGGTTTTGTTGCTGGAGGATACGTCAGTGTTGCTTTTGATGGTCATACACTTGCTTCTTGGCAGTTGAATTGTCGGTGGCTGCTATACCCAAGAATGTTATGATTTGCAAATAGGTTTGCTTTAGATGATTCTGGTCTACGTATTTCTGATTGATTTGAAGTTTCTGAATAGCTTTTTTCGACCTTTATTCTTGTGCTGGTCTACATATCTATGATATGGTAAAGAAGTTCTTGAAAATCTAAATGCACGGATGATGGTACTGTACTTAGCTAGTCAGATTATATTGTTGCTCTACATCTGAATTTCTTGCTCAATTAAAAATTCTAACACAGATTCACTTTCCCTTATTCCTGTTTGATCATGGAGTTTGAATTCATTTTATATTTCTGTGGGATGTTCAGATACCAAAACAAAAGGGCTAGAATTGGTTAACTACCTGAGATTGGGAACCCTATCACATGAGAAGTTTCTAGGATTTAATTTGAAGGTGTTAAATCCCCAATATTGGTTTATTTAACGATTATGTTTTTGCTGGAGGATATTTCTATTTGTTGCTTTTGGTGGTCCTATAGCTGCTTCTTTGCCGTTGAATTGACAGTGACTGCTTTGCCCAAGAATGTTATGATTTGCAAAAAGGGGTTTGCTTTAGATGATTCTGGTCTACATATCTACACATATCTATGATTGTTGTGCTTGTAGTTCTAAGACTATTGCAGATGTTATGCGGTAGTTTCAAGTTTTGTCCCGCCAACTCTTCTTGTGTGTGCTCATTGATTCTGCGATGGTGGGCTCGATCAAGTTCCCCATAAAAATCTAATTGCTTTTATGACGGTACTACACTTAGCTTTTTAGATTTAATAGTTGCTCCAGCTTTTTATGGTATTAGTCAATTCAGGATTCTATCATAGATTCACTTTCACCTTTTATTATTTATAATGGAGTTCGAATCTATTCAATATTTTCAAGTGATGTTCAGATATGAAAATAGGACTTGAAGCAGTTATTCTCCTGAGATTGGGAACGTTATCACATGAGAAATGCATAGGGTCAAATATTGAGGTTTTGAAATCCCTGATTTTGGTTTACTTATTGATATTTTTGCTGGAGGATATCTCTTTGTGTTGCTTGTAATGGTGGTACAGTTGGTTCTTGATGGTTGAATTTTCAGTGACTTACTATACCCAAGAATTTTGTGATTTGCGAACAGGTTTGATTTACATGTTTCTGGTCTACACAATTTTGATTGATTTAATGTTTTTGAATACTTTTTTGACCTTTTTGTGTGCTTGTAGTTCCATAACTCTTGTAGGTATCATCTATTTGTTTGATTTTTGGCCTCGTCACTTCATGTGTGTGCTGGTTGATGACGCTGATGGTGGGGTTGGTGCAAGTTCTTCGTGAAAATCTTATTGCACGGATGATGGTATTGTACTTGGGTTGCCCTGAATTAATTTTTGTTCTAACTTTTGATGGTGTTGGTCGACTAATGATTTTATTATAGGTTTACTTCGCCTATTCTTGTATGATTATTGAGTTTAAATTCATCATTTCCTTGTGATGTTCATATACTTTAATAAGAGGACTAGAAGCGGTTAACAACCAGGGAGAAATTTCAGGATTTAATTTTGAGGATTCAAATCCCCAATATTGGTTTATTCATTTATTTTTTGCTAAAGGACATGTCTTCATTTTGCTTTGGATGGTCATACATTTGCTTCTTTGCAGTTGAGTATTTGGTGAATTCGTTACCCAAGAATGTTTTGATTTGCATACAGGTTTTCTTTAGATTGTTTTGGTCAGCACACCTCTGATTGATTTTGAGTTTTGAATTGCTTTTTCGACCTTCGTTGTGCCTGTAGTTCCAAATTCTTGTAGATATTAAGTGTTTGTGATCTGCCAACTCTTCTTGGGTGTGTTCATTGATGACGCTGATGGTGGGTTGAAAGTTGTTCTTCTAGACAATCTATTTGCGCGGATGATGGTACTGTACTTAGCTTTTAAGATTAAATAGTTTCTCTGCATCTGAATGTGTTGGTCAATTAAAGATTCTATTACAGATTCACTTTTGCCTATTTTTGTTTTACCATGGAGTTTGAATCATTCAGTATTTCCGTGGGATGTTTATATAGCTAAACTAGAGGGCTAGAAACAGTTAACAATCTGAAATTGGGAATCCTATCACATGAGAAGTTTCTAGGACTTAATAGGTTTGAAATCCCCAAAATTGGTCTAGTTATTAATTATACATTGCCGAAGGAAATTTCTTTATTTTGCTTTTCATGGTCATATGGTTGCTTCTTGGTCGTTGAAACGGTGACTGCTTTACTCGAGAATTTTGTGATTTGCAAATAGGTTTGCTTTGGATGATTATGATCTGCATACCTCTGATTGATTTAAAGTTTTTGAATAACTTTTCCGACCTTTATTGTTCTTGAGCCATTTTCTTTCAAGTGATCGTCGAATTCATGGTTCAAATATTCGCCACTTTGATCCGATCGAAGTACTTTAATTTTCTTGCCAAGTTGATTTTCAACTTCTTTCTGAAATTCTTTGAATTTCTCAAGTTCCAAAACCCTGGCAGATATTATGTGTTTGTTTTATGTTTGGTTCTGCCAACTCTTCTTTTGTGTGCTCATTGATGACGCTGATTGTTTCGGGGTTTTTGGAGTCCTTCGGGAGAGTTACAATCCCTAGTATGCGCAGCCGACACCTGTACCTGCAAAACAACGAAGACTCCAGTTGGTGGGAGCTCCGCCTCCGACGATCAAGCTAGTATACGTCTGGAGTAGTAAATTGTACGGAAATGGTAAATACTTCTCTTTGGTTCAGAGAGAATTCCGCAATGAATATTACTCGGTTTTTGTGTATAGTGTTTATGGGTGAATTTATGAATGCCCAATAAATGAGGTTTGGTCCACTATTTATAGTGGGGGGAACCTGTCCCTCATCTAGGGTTCCATGGACACGTGTCACTAGGGGATTGGAGCCTTGTAGACCTCTGAGAGGTTGTCACGTGTCAAAGGGCCATTGGGCCACGTGTCTAGGGTAGTTTTTTACCCTAAACATTTGCCCCTCACAGGTGTGATGTGGCTTAGCCACGTGTCACCTGTGACAAGTTTCATGCTCTGGGGGAGTGACGGTTGGTCTACTTCCCGCCTTTCTCTCTTCTTACTCTTTTTTTTTTTTTTTTTTTGAATTTGAATGTTTGAGGCAGAAGGTGGCGGTTCGCCTTCTGGGTTTCTCTATAAATAGAGGAACCCTCTCTCTCCTCCTCACTTTTACAAACTTGCAAAAATTTTCTTGAGAGCTCTGGTACCGGCTGCTTTTGCGTTCAACCAGCTACTTTGATTCAGACGCGTCCAGACACCGGTTGAGTACTTCTTCGATCATCTCACTAAGGTACCGTCTAACTTAGTCATTTTCTTCTTTTTGATTTCAAGTAGAGCCACAACCGGTCTTACACTGTGTGGGGCACCTTTAAGCAATTTCTTTCACAAATTGCATTTAATAGACCCACAACCGGTATATAGGCATCTTCAAACAATTTTCAAAAATTGCATTCAATAGACCCTCAGAAATGTTCCGTCAGGGGGCATTTCTGAGCAATCTTCATAATTTGCTTTCTATAGACCCACAACCGGTCTTTTTACCGCCTCTGGCATCTTCAAGAAGTTTCTTGATTTGCATTCATAAGACCCTCAGCCAGTCTTGTGCAATCTTCTAAAAATGCATCCTATAGATACCGTGTGGGGTATCTTTGAGTAGTCTTCGAAAACAGCATTCTATTGATACCGTCTGGGGTATCTTTGAACAATTTTCAAAAAGGCTCTATAGATACCGTCTGGGGTATCTTTGAGCATTCTTCATAAATTGCCTTTTATAGATACCGCCCGAGGTATCTTTAGGCAAATTCCTTTCAAAATGCCTAACCATCTGCCTTTTAACTTTCTAAACAACCACAGCCGGACACTTCCGTCTGTGGTATCTTCGAGTGATTCTCTTCGAAAAACGCCTGACTGTTTGTTTTGTATTTCAGCTTTCACAACATACGCAACCGGACTCTACCGCATGTGGCATCTTCAAGCCACATTTTGGGATAACGGTCGTCTTCTACAAACTTCTTTACTACTTCAAGGTACCGTCTCTGCCCTTCGCAACTCTTTGAGTTTTTCCCGGTTGTGTAGTTTGTATAGTATAAATGGGCTCTCCCATAACACACACGGCACAGCCTAAGACAGAGGTCAGCCGGTCACCTGGGACGGCTGAGTCTAGGACTAGGGATGTCGTCTGGGGGTGTTTGGCCAGATGGACGGCAATTGACCCTGACTACCAGTCCGATGATGCAGTCGTGGATCTGGCTGTCTCTGTTAATAATGACCAGGCCGAAGAACCGACTGGGAATGTACCGAGTGAGGTACCGGGTGTGCCGAGTACACCCCGGTATCCTTGATGAATCTGACTCAAATGGCAAAAAGTCCGGTGAAGAGTCCGGCTCTGATGAGTCTTCATTAGAATCAGCCGACCCTAATAAGGAGGACGTCTATAAGTGGCCGGTTGTTAACAACCCCACTGAAGCAACTATGACCGCCAGGGATGTGGTCACCTTGAATGCCACTTTTCCCTGCGTTTTTGGAAAAGAAACCGGTAGGGGTAGGCTGGGAGGTTAGGGTCCCACCTGTAGATGCCACGGTTGTCTGGGAAAACGATTTGGAACATGCCGACGACTATTTCGGCTGCTATGAGGCGGCATTCAAAGCCGGCCTCCGGTTCCCCCTCCATAGTTGTATAAAAGCCATTCTAAGGGGTTACAACTTAGGCGTCTGGCAGCTGAATCCCAATTCCTGGGTTAACATACTAGGATACATAGCCGCCTGTGAGATGCAGGAAATAAAGCCTAGCTGGGAGACATTTGCACATATGCACTACCTCGGCCGAGCACCAGGCGGCTGGAATGCGTGGTATACTTTAACCACGCACCCGGAATATATGATGACCTTGGACAAGCCGTCCAAGTGAAGTAGTTGGAAGAGTAAGTTCTACGTAGTCTCTTCACCGACTCCCCAATTAAATCGCCGACTGGGTACCTACAATAAGAAACCGGCTCTTCTTGGGAAGAAGTGCGCTCTTCCAAAGGTGCCGGAGGAGGCCTGGGACCAAATAATGGAGACGGGTCTCTTTAAGAAGACGACCCTCCCTCTAGATGATGGGAGTGTTATTATAGATCCCAAGTTTTGGGTACCTCACCCGGATTGGTTCAAAGATGAGGCGTTCCTGTCCGCCTGTCATCGTAGTACTATGTTTACCAAAAGTAGGTTATCTTTTTCATCCGGTATATATTGTTGTTTGCTTGCCTCATCCGGGTATTTACTTGCTCTTTTCTTTTCTTTTGCAGAAGAAGCTTTAGAGATGCTGCTTGCTGAGAAGACACCGGCTACATCGGCTTCTGCCATCAGGAAGGAGCAGATAGAGAAAAAGAAGTCGCAGCTGGCGGCGAAGGACGGCGGGGTAAGCTGTATTCCCCCCATTTTCTGTTGCCGGCTGTACTACTTTGGTGTGAGTTTTGTGATTAACCGGTTGTCTTTCCTTTTTCAGGCGGGGAACAAAAATGTTCCACGCTCCCTGTCCAAGATGCTAAAGAGGACGGCTGGGGAGATAACCTAGCCAGCTGCTAAGGCACCAAGGGTGTCGGCTCCTGCCCCTGCTGCTACCCCATCCGAGAGGCCGTCTGTAAGTGACAGGCCAACCTCTGCTGGCAAGAGCCTGAGAGGTCTCATCCCGGCTACCGAGGCGGTGGTCGAGGCAGGAAAGGAGCCAGGTACTCCGGCTGGTCAGGGCCAGACCACAACTGGCTCAAATGCGGTTGGGGGAGCTAACCCCTCAACAACATAAAGGTATGGCTTCCACCTTCGATCCCCCCTGCCCGCTTGGGCCTCTACGAGTCAAGTCCCAAGTCAGCCAATCTGGGATTCCTCAGGCAGCCATCAGAATATAGGCACCGCCTATGCCCAGTACCTGACCCATGACTCTGTTGTTGCAGATGCTACCTCAAGGTGGCCCAACTTCCAACAATTCGCAAAGAGGATGCTCCGGACCCTCACCCGACAAGGAGGCGGTGCCGGGTATGCACTAAGTCAACCTTGACCGCATCAATTCTCTCCTGGTGGAGGTAATAAACCGGCTGTGTTTTTGGCTTGTAAACTCTTTCTTTTACCGGATATGTTGCCTTGAATGGGACTAACTATTTTGCCGGCTAATGCTGCAGGTGATGCTACGGGTGGATGGTCTAGGCGTGCCCTTGCGTAAAAAGCAAGAGGAGGTAAGGGATGCCCAGAAACGGGCATCTGACCTTATTGATGTATGTCAGTTCAACGCCATTATATATGACATGGAAACTAAACGCCGGGAGATGAAACAGGAGGAGCTTCTCAAGGAAGCTAAAGCGGTTGCTGAGACGGCAAATAAGAAGGCGGCTGACCTCAAGCTCCAGGTCAACAACCTCAAAGCCGATCTCAAGGCATTGGGGGAAGCCGACAAAGAGAACACCGGGCTACGCTCGGAAGTCAGCCGGCTGAAAAATGAGCTTGCCCTGAGCCAGTCGGCTTACAAAGAAAAGCTAGCAGCCGAACATCGACGTCTACGAAACTGACTGCGAGGAGCGCATCAAGCTGGCTTGGGGGCTGATCCATCCGGAGGTCGAGTATGACTTCTTCGACCTTAGGTACAAGTATGCCACTGAGGTATACGATGCTAAGGTCCTTGGCCAAGTCCCGCCGGCTCCATTTGAAGAGTGGGCTGGTATAGGCGAGGAAGGCGACAAACCGGAGGCTCAGGATCAGCAGGCGGAGGTTCAGGACCAGCCGGCTCAAAACCAGCAGCAGCAACAGTAGACTTCATTTTTATTTCCTCCTTTTACCGGCCTGCGAGCCATGTATTTTCAAATGTATTTCCCCGGTCAAGGGACCGGCTGACATTTGATTTTCAATGTATATTTCCGACCCAGTCGGTTTTCTCTATTCTTCATCTTTTGCAATTTTGTTTATTCGCAATTGAATTTTAATTTTTACAAGTAATATGACTCATACGGTTTACCGGGTGTGTTGGCTATATGTGCCCCTTGACGGTTGTCTGCTGACGTTCCAAGTAATATGCAGAGAGTCGTCCATATAAACACCCGGTTTCCTGGTTTCACATATTGGTTGTGGCTGGATTAGCAGACGGTGTCTGCTAACCAGTGTTCCTTTGAGCCGGCTGGGGTGTACTCATTGAGCACCCCTTTCTATGCCGTTAGATTGTATGAGGCCGGTTTTTTGACCGGCTGTTGGTATTTGAACCCTGGATTCTTAGTGCTAAGGTTTAAACCTTACTAGATTCGATAGCATAACCGTTTGGGGTGCTTTTGGGCAAAAGCCGGTTATGGCATGACCAAGATTTCATGTGCCGTCTGCACCGTCTGGTAGTACGGGCGGCTGTATTTTTGTGTTTGGGAGTACCGGCTGTAATACTTTGAAGTAAAGCCCGGGGGTACCGCTTTGCAGAAAAGACCGGTTGTATTGTTTTTCAGTGAAAACCGGTTGTGTCTTGGTTACAATGGATCATTCAAACATCCACGTGTTATCTTTTACCTTAGCCGGTTAAAGCCGTTTGATTTATGACCGCTAGAACAATGTACCACCCTAAATGGGCGTCGCCGGATGTCAGACGGTTTAAATTTCAGCTGGCCAGTTAGCCTTTTATTTTATAGCTGCCGCCTGTGTATTGCACAGAACATGGCGAATGCCGCCTGTGTTTTACACAGGATATGGCGAACGTATGTAAAAAGAAAATTTGGAAATAAAGCATTCTTATTAATATACTCTATTTCCAAAAATTTACAATTTCTCAGAAGTAGTACTTTTTCAAGTTGTCTACATTCCAAGTTTTGGCTAGCTGGCTGCCATCTGGTGTTTCCAGGCGGTAGGTGCCCCCTCTAACTTCTTCAAAAATCCGATAGGGGCCCTCCCAATGAGGGGTTAGCTTCCCTTGCTCATTTGCCCTACCGGTTGCCTCCATTTTCCGTAGCACAAAGTCCCCCACCTTGAGGGGCCATTTGTGTACTCTTTTGTTGTAGGCCCTCGTCATTCTCAGACGGTGTATCTCATGACGCAAGGCGGCTATGCCCCTACGTTCCAGGAGTGAGTCCAATGCAAGACGCATAGCCTCCCAATTAGCCTCTTCATCATATAGCATGACTCGGAGTGTTGGCTCATAAAGTTCAATAGGCAGGACGGCTTCAGTGCCGTATGTCATGAGAAACGGGGTTTCACCGGTTACCCCTTTTTTAGTTGTTCTGATGGCCCAAAGGACGTGAGGTAACTCATCCGCCCAAAGATCGCCAGCTCTTTCAATCTTCTTTTATATGTCGTATGAGATGAGCTTGTTGAAGGCTTCAACTTGGCCGTTTTCCTGGGGCCAGCCAACGGATGCAAAGCAATGTGAGATCCCTTGATCTCCCAACCAGCTGTTGAGGGTAGGCGTTTCAAACTGAGGGCCATTGTCAAAGACCATAGACATAGGAACCCAAACCGGGTGATGATGTTTCTCCAAATGAAGGAGATGACATCCTTTGTCTTGATGCCCTTGACCGCCTCTGCCTCAACCCATTTGGTGAAGTAATCCACAGCCACAAGGATGTATCTTCTTCCGCCTGATGCAGGCGTATAAGGACCTAAGATGTCCATGCCCCATTTTGCAAACGGAACCGGGCTGTAGATGACTAGTCAGATCTGTTGCCGGACGGTGTATGAGCCGGCCAAACCTCTGACACATGTCACATTTCTTCACCAATTCCATGGCGTCTGCCTCAAGAGTGGGCCAAAAATAGCCTTGCCGCCTGGCCCTCTTTGCTAGAGTTCTGCCGCCTATATGTGAAGCACAAATGCCCGCGTACAGATCGTCTAGCACCTCTTTTCCCCTTTTAGGGATAACACACTTCAGCAACGGCTAGAGGTAACCCTTTCTCAAGAGCTCCCCCTTGTACATTTCGAAGCTCAAAGCTCGCTTCTTTAATGCTGTCGCCTCTGAAGGGGCATCCGGCAGAGTGCCGTCTACCAAATAATCCCGGATGGGGTCCATCCAGGTAGAGCTTCAGTCAAGAACTCCAATGGGATCATGTTCAATGCTTCTTTTTTCCATGACCTCCCAAAAGGCTGATCTAGGCGTATCACGAGTGGCGGATGAGGCCAGTTTGGACAATGCATCCGCTTGATTGTTCTCTGACCGGGGCACCTGACTTAGATGAAACTCATCAAGTGTCCCAGCCTCATCTTTGACCGCCTGCAAATACTTGATCATTGCCGGATGGGTGGCCTCATAGTCACCGTTGAATTGGCTAACGATCAGTTGGGAATCTGAGCAGGCGTTAACTTTTCTTACCCCTGCCGCCTTACACATGCGTATACCGGCTAGCAGGGCCTCATACTCAGCTTTGTTGTTTGAAGCTTGAAACTTGAACCGTAGTGCATATTCATATGTATCCCCTTCCGGAGATTTACAAATTACGCCTGCACCACAGCCGTTCATTGTAGAACTTCTGTCGACGAATGATTCCAAACCTGATCAGTATTTTCTGGCTGTGCCGGCCTAGTCATTTCAACAATGAAGTCGGCAAACGCCTGACCTTTCACTGCCCGCCTAGGTTTGAAAGTTATCTCCAGGCTTTGTATTTCAACAGCTCACCTGATCATTCTGCCGGATGACTCTATAGTAGTCATTGGACGTTTACCTCCCGGTTGCAAACCTCTTGGTTGCAAGTGGATTTTCACTAGGAAAAGGAGACCGGATGGCTCCATAGTGAAATTTAAAGCCAGATTGGTTATCCAAGGCTTTAGAGAAAAACATGGTGTTGATTACTTCGATACCTATGCACCGGTTGCAAGAATTACCTCCATAAGGTTATTGATTGCAATGGCTTCAGTTTATAATCTAGTGATTCATCAATTGGATGTCAAGACGGCATTCCTTTATGGAGATCTAGAGGAAGAAGTGTACATGAAACAACCCGAAGGGTTTGTTTTGGAAGGACAGGAAGATAAGTTGTGTAAATTGGTTAAGTCATTGTATGGAGTTAAACAAGCACCAAAGCAGTGGCATCGGAAATTTGATGACACAATATTGTCCTTTGGATTCAAAGTGAATCAAGCTGATAAGTGTATATATAGCAAATTTGATGACAAAGGTCATGGTGTTATCATTTGTCCATATGTTGATGATATGCTTATCTTTGGTACAAGTCTACAACAAGTAGAATTGACCAAGGAATTCTTATTCTCATCTTTTCAGATGAAGGATTTGGGGGAGGCGGATGTCATTTTGGGCATCAAGATTATTAGGGACAACGGAAGACTTGTTTTAAGTTTGGAAGGACAGGAAGATAAAGTGTGTAAATTGGTTAAGTCATTGTATGGACTTAAACAAGCACCAAAGCACTGTCATCGGAAATTTGATGAAACGATATTGTCCTTTGGATTCAAAGTGAATCAAGCTGATAAGTGTATATATAGCAAATTTGATGACAAAGGTCATGGTGTTATCATTTGTCTATATGTTGATGATATGATTATCTTTGGTACAAGTCTACAACAAGTAGAATTGACCAAGGAATTCTTATCCTTATCTTTTCAGATGAAGGATTTGGGGGATGCGGATGTCATTTTGGGCATCAAGATTATTAGGGACAACGGAAGACTTGTTTTAAGTCAATCTCATTATATTGAGAAGATGATCAAACGGTTTAATATATTTGATAAGAGTCCTGTAAATACCCCATGGAACCTAATGTTAAATTGGTTAAGAATTCGAGGAAAATGATTTCCCAATTGGAATATTCAAGGATAATTGATCTTTGATGTATGCCATGACAAGTACAAGACCGGATATTGCATTGGCTGTAGGAAAACTTAGTAGATTTACTAGTAACCCGGGTGTACAACATTGGTTTGCAATTCGGAGGGTCTTGAGGTACCTTAAAGGTACATTGGATTTTGGTTTGACTTATAGTGGATTTCTTTCGGTTTTAGAAGGATATTCTGATGCAAGTTGGATCACTTACAAAGAGGATGACTCTTCTGTTAGTGGTTGGGTATTCATGTTTAGGGGAGGTGCTATTTCATGGTCTTCCAAGAAACAAACTTGCATTGTTGATTCCACTATGGCAGTGGAGTTTATTGCTCTTGCTTCAGCTAGTAAGGAAGCTGAATGGTTGAGAAATCTCATGTTTGAGTTGCCTTTATTGCCAAAGCCAATGTGTTAGAATCCGCCTCTTTCTCTATGTATCCCCCTTCCTTTTTCCTTGTATTTTCCTTATGTAGTGTCTTCTAAGTCTTTCTTTTTGCTTTCTAGGCTCTAGGGGAAATTATTGTGTTACTGTAGTTTCAGCGTTCACTAGTATTTTTCTATGTAATCAATATAAAGCTCTTTATGGGTCGAATGGTTGAATGGATGAAAGCTCCTATCCGGGTTGCCTTTACTTTAAGACTTGTGTGTTGATTTAAGCCTTTATAGATATTGTGCTTGCCTTGTTTTAAAGCCTCCCCACCAAACCAAGATAACCTCAAAAGACGCCTTCCTTATCGTCGGTCCCGCTTGTGCCCGCTTCGAAATATCGGCCGTCACAAGCCCCGACTCAGCACTCGTTGTTGACGAGTGCTTCGTTGAGATACCCTTGGTCCGTGCTGCTGTGTGCCACGAACCCCCTTCGCTCTAGGCTTGCGTCCTTGTCGTCAATAGACAAGTGCGCGCCGCACGATCCAGTGTCAAAACTCTCGGACCGTGACAGTTGGTATCAGAGCCGGGTTGCTCGAGATATGTCGAACGAAGAGATGCCAGGATATACGTTGGAAGAAAGACTTGCTTGGCTTGAAGGCAAGTCAGAACAGTGGGCTATGCTGGAAGAAAGGATGTCCAAGCTCGAAGATATTGTAATAAAGCAAGCTGAGGAAATGGAGAGGCTCGCGTCGACGGTGGATGGGTTGACGGAGCAACTTAACTTTGTGTAAGGCTTAGCTGATGAGGCACAAGACAAATGTGCCACCTTGATGCGTGCCTAAAGAGGGCTCGGGGATAGTGGAGGTACTAAAATAAAACCTCCTAAACCTCGGACCTTTAATGGCACGAGAGACTCGAAGGAGGTGGACAACTTCATCTTCGACATGGAGCAATACTTCCGTATATGTCGGTTGGAGGATGAACTGAAGGTTGATACTGCCACGATGTACTTAGTGGACAATGCTAAGATTTGGTGGCGCACCAAGTACGCCGATATTCAAGCTAAGAGAACGTCGGTAGACACTTAGGAGGATCTAAAGAAAGAGTTGATGGCTCAATTTTACCCCGAGAATACTGAGCTTGTCGCTCGCACCAAGCTTGCAACACTGCAACATAAGACCTCTATTCGGGAGTATGTGAAGGAATATTCGGCGTGCATGTTAGAGATTTATGACATGTCAGAGAAGGATCGCCTATTCAACTTTGTGCGGGGTCTGAAAGATTGGGCTCAAAGGGAGATATGGCGCCAGAAAATTGATACCTTATCGGGTGCTATAGCTGCAGCTGAAAGGTTGATGGATTACTCGTCAGACAAAGCGCCCATCCAGAAGAAGGGGAATAGTGGGTCAACATCAAGCACCCCAAGGAGTACCAGTGGTAATACTCAGGTTAGCTCGAACAGTGTGGGGAATAGGTTCAGGAATGGGGGAGAAGACTCGCAGAAGAATGTCTTCACCGCATCTACAAACAGAGGTGGGTCCTCGGGCTCATCATCATCATGGAATAAACCCCTCACCTGTATACTTTGTCGAGGGCCGCACAAATGGTTTGAGTGCCAACATAAGTCAGAAATAGACAACCTCCAGAAGATTCTCTCCTCAATGTCCTCTAACCCTCATAAAGGAGAGGACAAAGAGGAGGACATGGGAAGCGAAGAAGAACCCTCTAAGTTGGGGGCAGTGTATTGCATGTACGCTATGGGAAAAGAAACGTCGGAAGATAAGGGTCGGGCTACCAGCCTGATGTATGTAGATGTCTGGATAAACGAGAAGAAGGCTCGGGCGATGGTTGATACAGGGGCCACTCACAATTTCATCACGAAGCGCGAGGCAAACAGGTTAGGGCTGAGAGCCGTGCATAGTGGTGGTCGCATGAAGGCTGTGAACTCTGAAGCACAACCGACTTGCGGCGTGGCAAAGAATGTGAGCACCAGGATTGGGGAATGGAGTGGGAGCCTGGACTTCACAGTGGCAACAATGGATGATTTTGAGCTGGTCCTTGGGATGGATTTCTTACACACCAGCAAGGCTGTCTCGATGCCCCACCTAGGGTCCTTACTTGTGACAAGCCACCAACCGTGCCTCCTACGGACACACGCCCAAGCTGAAAAGGGAAAAGAATTGAAAGGCCCCCTTCTCTCGGTGATGCAACTCAAGAAGGGGATGAGGAGGAATGAGCCTACGTTCCTTGCCACTCTCTCGATGAAGGACGAGGAGGTCGAAGGCGATATCCCGGAAGTTATAGGAGAGTTGCTTGGGGAATATGCAGACATACTTCCTAAGGAGCTCCCAAAATCTCTTCCTCCTCGAAGGGCCATAGATCACAGCATTGAATTGGTGGCAGGTGCTAGACCACCTGCACGAAGCCCCTATCGGATGGCCCCTCCAGAACTTGCAGAGTTACGTAAACAGTTGGACGGGTTGTTAGAAGCTGGGTTCATCCGGCCTTCCAGAGCTCCCTATGGAGCACCGGTCCTTTTCCAAAAGAAGCAAGATGGGAGTTTGAGACTGTGTATCGACTATAGAGCCTTGAACAAGCTGACAGTGAGGAATCACTATCCGATACCGTTGGTAGCAGACTTGTTCGATCAGCTAGGAGATGTTGTGTACTTCACGAAGCTTGATCTAAGGTCCGGCTACCATCAAGTCCGAATTGCTCAGGGGGATGAACCAAAGACAGCTTGCGTCACCAGATACGGCGCGTTCGAGTGGTTGGTCATGCCGTTTGGGCTAACAAATGCGCCCCCAACATTCTGTACCTTGATGAATCAAGTCTTCCACGACTACCCTTGACAAGTTTGTGGTTGTTTACTTAGACGACATCGTAATCTTCAGCAACGCCCTAGAAGATCACTTAGAACACCTGAGGAAGGTGCTTGAGAAGTTAAGACAACATCACCTGTTCGTGAAGCGGGAAAAATAAGCTTTTGCGAAGGAAGAAGTAAGCTTCCTTGGACATTTTGTGGGAGGAGGCCGCATAAGGATGGATCCTAAGAAAATCCAAGCTATTAGTGATTGGCAAGCTCCGAAGAACTTCTCAGAATTAAGGTCGTTTTTGGGGTTGGCTAACTACTATCGCCGCTTCATTCAGGGATATTCAGAGATAGCAAGTCCCCTCACGGACTTGTTGAAGAAAGACAACAAATGGAATTGGTTGGAAAAACAACAAAGGGCTTTACTCAAGCTCAAAGAAGCAGCAATGAAGGAATCGGTTTTAGCCCTCCCTAACATTAACAAGCCGTTTGAATTTGAGACGGATGCTTCCCACTATGCACTGTGCGGTGTCTTACTCCAAGAGGGCCACCCAGTTGCTTATGAGAGCCGGAAGTTGAGTGGAGCCGAGAGGAGGTATGCTGCCCAAGAAAAAGAGCTATTAGCCATTGTTCACTGTTTGAAGGGGTGGAGACACTACTTGTTGGGAGCAAAATTTATTGTTCGCACCGACAACACTGCGGCCAGCTACTTCCTCACCCAACCAAAGTTAACGGGGAAGCAAGCTCGTTGGCAGGAGGTCCTAGCGGATTTTGATGTGGAGTTCACGTACAAGGCTGGAGCCAGTAACAAAGTAGCTGATGCCTTGAGCCGTCGTGCCGATCTGGCCCCCCTACAAAGATTGTCTCCCATGTCAGCCAGCAATGTCACCACCTCTGTCAAAGAGCAAGTCAAACAACACCTCTCACAAGACCCCATGACGAACACTATTAGAAGGCTGATAGAAGAAGGAAAGACAAGACGCTTCTGGATAGAAGACAGGCTCATTTTCACAAAGGGTAACAAGCTATTCATACCAAAGGCGGGAGGCTTGCGGAAGATGCTCTTAAAGGAATGTCATGATACCCTATGGGCTGGACACCCAGGGTGGCAGAGGACTTTAAGCTTACTATCCTTGGGGTATTATTGGCCGGGAATGAAAGAAGATGTCATGAGTTACACCCGGACCTGCTTGGTTTGTCAACAAGACAAGGTAGACCGTCAGAAACCTGGTGGCCTCCTAGATCCTCTTCCCGTGCCGACACGTCCGTGGGAAAGCATATCAATGGACTTCATCAGTGGTCTCCCCAAAGTGGACCAGTATTCCGTAGTGATGGTGGTGATTGACCGATTCTCCAAATATGCCACCTTTCTCCCCATGCAGAAGGCTTGTAGTGCGGAGGAGACGGCGACATTGTTCTTTAAACATGTGGTGAAGTATTGGGGGTTGCCCCAGAACATAGTCAGCGACCGAGATACAAGATTCACAAGCATATTCTGGACAGAGTTGTTCCAGCTGCTGGGGTCAGACTTAAACATGTCTTCAAGCCACCACCCTCAATCTGATGGCCAAACAGAGAGATTCAATGGTCTCTTAGAGGAATACTTGAGACACTTCGTTAGCGCCAACCAGAAGGATTGGGTGAAGCTCCTTGATGTCGCCCAACTTTGCTTCAATTCCCAAAAGAGTACTGCATCCAACAGAAGTCCGTTTGAATTGGTGATGGGCCAACAACCTCTCCTGCCCCACACCATAGCAACATCCGAAGATGGGAGGAGCCGCGAAGCACGAGAGTTTAAGCGAGAATGGCAGCAAAACATGGAAGTTGCTCGCGCATACTTGGAGCGGGCATCGAAGAGAATGAAGAAGTGGGCCGACCAGAATAGAAGACCGGTGGAGTTTGATGTAGGGGATATGGTGATGGTGAAGATCCTCCCAAAACAGCTCAAGTTCCTTAGAGGAAGAGATCGCAGGCTGATCAGGAAATATGAAGGCCCCATCCGCATCACTAAACGGATTGGGAAGAGTGCGTACAAAGTCGAGCCGCCTACGTGGATGAAGATACACCCTGTTTTCCACGTTAGTCGTCTCAAACCCTATCATCCAGATCCAGAAGACAGCAACCGCAACACCAGCAACCGCGCCAACATCAGAACCAGGACGAGAGCCACACCAGCAACAGAAGAGTGAAGCTGTTATTTTTCTTTACATATATGTTTTGTTTTGTAAGTCGACGAGGTCGTCGACAGCTTAAGTGGGGGAGGATGTTAGAATCCGCCTTTTTCTCTATGTATCCCCCTTCCTTTTTCCTTGTATTTTCCTTATGTAGTGTCTTCTAAGTCTTTCTTTTTTATTTCTAGGCTCTAGGGGAAATTATTGTGTTACTGTAGTTTCAGCGTTCACTAGTATTTTTCTATGTAATCAATATAAAGCTCTTTATGGGGCGAATGGTTGAATGAATGAAAGCTCCTATCCGGGTTGCCTTTGCTTTAAGACTTATGTGTTGATTTAAGCCTTTATAGATATTGTGCTTGCCTTGTTTTAAAGCCTCCCCACCAAACCAAGAGAACCTCAAAAGACGCCTTACTTATCGTCGGTCCCGCTTGTGCCCGCTTCGAAATATCGGCCATCACAAGCCCCGACTCAGCACTCGTTGTTGACGAGTGCTTCGTTGAGATACCCTTGGTCCGTGCTGCTGTGTGCCACGAACCCCCTTCGCTCTAGGCTTACGTCCTTGTCGTCAATAGACAAGTGCGCGCCGCACGATCCAGTGTCAAAACTCTCGGACCGTGACACAATGTCACCGGTGGCTATTCATTGTGATTCGAATTCGGCTTTGATAAAGGCATATAGTCAAGTGTATAATGGTAAGTCTCGGCATATTTCACTTAGGCATATCCTAGTGTAATAGCTTATAAATGATGGGGTCATAAGTCTTGACTATGTTCCAACTAAATTGAATTTGGCGGATTGCTTTACTAAAACATTGCCAAGGCATTCCATCATATTTGCTTTGAACGGAATGGGTTTATGTCCAAGAAACACGAATTTGTGAAACCCAATCTAACGCTTAGAGAAATATCAAGTCTTAGATTCAATGTGGTTGAATTGAATGTTTGATGTTTGTTAGCAATGTTTTGTGACCCATATTGCTATGATACTTGTGATGTTATTAGGTAGCGTTTATTCAAAGTTCTCCAGATTTAGAGTTGAGAAGCTTTAGATGAAGGTGTCTTATCACAAGGGCACTATTACGTATGTGAGAACCTACCTATGTAAGTTCGAAGTTTAGCCGCTTCAAGAAGTCTAAATGGACATATTGACCTTGATGAATTTATGAAAGATACGGACACATGGCTGTATAAAAGTGTCTAGTGATGTTAAACTCGATTTGTCTTGTGTGTATTTTACCTTCGAATGGTCAAAGATATCCGGGTGATTCAATCCATAGGAAAATCATAGGATATGATCATCGTTAAGTGCGTTGTACTAGGTGTCAATTCAATCCGTAGGGACATTGACATTGATGCATGAGATGTAGCTTAATTGATAGAAGTGAAGGTGTTTAAAGGTACACTCTAAATAGGGGAGGATTGTTGATGATTTAGAGTGTCGGAGTGGAGTGCCTGCGCCACTGTTCAGCGCGCCCACGCAAGGTCGGCGCGGCCCGCGATGAAAGCGCGTCAAAATCGCGTCAAGTCTCTAGATCAAGGCAAAATTTTGGCAGAATTGGGGAGGCGCGCCCGCGCTGCTTCCCTTGTCTGCGGTTTTTTGCGGTTATTTCCTTTTTAATTAAAGGAGTTTCGTTTTTACAGAGATTGATTTTCAGTTTTACTCTCCTCTCTAATATTCTCCTTCTCTACACTTTCTTTGAAGAAACTTGCAATCTCTTCTTGGAAATCTCTATCAATTAAGTTTGCATTTGAGAATTTAATAATCTTACTACAAATCTTAGTGCAAAGATCGTAGTGTCGTCTATTGTATCTCAAAGTGACTTTCCGGTTCAATCCAAGCACCGTTGTGGGGGAAATAATCACTTTAGGAAAGTGTATTCATGCCTTAGATGAGTATCAAGTATTGAAGACTCACGTGGTCATACTCATTCTCATGTTCTTGTTGTTTTCGTTGGCTTGGAGTAAGGCAAGTGATTATCTTTCATACTTGTAGTTTAGTTTGTAATTTTTTGTAATTTTCATTCTAAACTTGTTAGTGCTTGGTTTGTGTGTGTAGTTGATTATAATTATATATTGTAATTGCTTTTTATTCCCACAAATTCGTAGTACTAGAATTTGTACTAGTAGGAGGATTTCCTAACAAATTGTATGCTATTATGATGAGCTCTACTCAGTAAGTTAGACCTAGTTTTTCTACTTCAGTGGTGTTCACTGTGATGTTAGGAATTTCGACTAGATCATGTGGGTTGTGAAGGATTTAAGTGTAGTTTTTCTTCTCCTCCAACTAAGTATGCAAAATGTTGACACAAATTTTTCTTTGGTGGAGCTAATAGTCTTTCCAATAGTAGCTGTATAATTTTGTATAATAGCTGTAAACTGTTCTATAGATTGGGCAGTATCGAGCATTTGTACTCACGGTGAGATATGATTGATTGGCATGTCCGCATGTATTTATTGTTGTGTTAAGTTGTATTTCACTTGTCGAATGTATCTTGTATATAATGCATACATATGGCCATGCTGTTAGCCCTCTTTTCAAAACCGGTATTTTATATTGTTATTCCTGATTTCCTACAGACTAGCAGACTTATGTTGGAGGGACATTATTGGATTATTCTTGAGACCTTAATTTTTGTAGTTCTATAGTTTGCTGTTTGCTTTCGGTATGGAAAACTTCTGGTCTTTTTTTTTTTTTTTTTTTTTTTTAAGATATACTGTTTGGTTGTTTTGATGGTGTAACACTCTTTTGGATCACAGTCAATTTGGAATCTCTCAAGTCCTTAGATCCTGTTATCCTTCCAACCAACAGCCACTTTGTAATTCATACCGTCAATAAATTATTTTGTCAATTTCTATTGAGTTGAAGGAGTTTATTTCCAATCCCTTCACTTTCCTAAATAAATTTGTGTGTATACATCCTTAGGTTATGGTCTATTGTGTAAGTTTAGTATATATACAAACATTTGCCTTTTGCATTGGACTTAATTTTGCCCTTGTTGCTCCCTTCTCTTCTTTTTTTTTTTTTTTTTTGAACAATTGCTCCCTTCTCTTCTCATATACTTTGTGGGATGGAAAGCGTTTAGCTAGCAACTTACATTTAATGATGCTTGTGCGTCTCCAAAAAAAATAAAAAAAAATAAATTAATTATTAATGATACTTGTGAATTAAATTGAGTTTTATGGGGTACTCGAGCTGCACTAAAATAGATATATAGGTATTTCTTTCTCCTTTTATTTTACCTTTATTCACAATGGAGCTGCTGAGCCTGAGCTGCTATATTCACACTCCTGCTAGGTGGTTGGCTTTTCGGCTATTTTCTGATACTCTTATGCTGATACAATTTTTGGGTCTTGTTTGGCAATATTGTATGGTTAAGAGTTATTACTTATGTAACTGAGATTTGGATGGTCATTTAGTGTCCTTGTCTTTTTGTTATGTTCCATTGGTGGGGACTGTGTGCGCAAAAGTGACGTCTATGTTAAATTTAATCACTATCTAAGGCAATGGGGCAGTAATGCTGCTCAGTAGAATAGCAGATACCCTTTTCTTCTCTTTTTTCTCCCCCCTTTTTAGCTGAAGAACCCATCCTTAACTCCGCCTGTGAGTGGCACTTTGTGGCATTCACCACCGGTCTCAAGCCCGGATAAAGGAGGAGAGTTATATTAGACATGTGAATCGAGACTTTTATGCAAGTTTGGATACAATAGTATGGGAAAAGGACATTTTTAGACTTTGTATGAAAGATATAGGAAGACTCGAGATATTAGAAAGGTTAAGTGTGTCAAGGATGTCAGCCAAAATATTCTGGTTGGAGACAAGGAGATAAAGGATAGACCGATAGAGATCTTACTTAGATAATTTATTCAATAGAGATCAATTTTAAAAAATTGGGGATGTTTTGGTAGCTAATGTGCTGTAAAACGACTTTTAGTTTTCTTAGTGCTTTTTATTCTGGTGTTTGTCTTTATTTGAGATCTTCTAGAACACTGATGCATCTTGATCATCAGATTTACTGTTGATTTGTAGTGTCTAGAGGATTGATATGTTGGATCATACACTCATATAACTCCTGGATTTCTTCAGTAAGATTGTTGTGGTTTAGAAAATCAAAGGCTTATCTTATATGCAATTTTTTTTTTTTTTTTTGGTAAATATCTTATGCAATTATTCCTGCACTTCGATTCTCAATGTTGATGTTTGTTTTGTTGCTCTGGCCTTGCTGGTTTAAGCTCTTACAACAGGAAATATGTATGCAGATCTTGTCATGGTTGTTAGGTCCTACTGCTATAACAGATAGTCACCTCTCTTTGCAAGAGTGATAACAAATTTATAATTTCTCTCAGATTTGATCTGCTTCTATTTTCTTTGGTTTTGGTTATTGTCTTTGCTACTGAAATGACCTGTAGTAAATGAAGAAACTGTGATTGAATATGGTCTGACAGCAGTCAGATATTATAAGTACTAAACATCAGGGGGATATTCTGATCCTTATTGGTTAGTGTGTCTTTCAATGACATCAGAATGGGTTTACGTGCATAAACGCATTATCTTTTCCAGCACTTTTGTATAGACAGGTTACTTTGGGATAAGCGATCATTATATTGAAGCGAGTTATATAGAGAATGAGTTGGAATTTTTATAGTACATTTAGGACTTGTATACGCACTCTTTCCTACTTGCGGGATTTCTGGTGGAAAGGCTTTCTTAAAGCTGGGACTTTGAGGAGTTGCTATCTCAACTTCGAGTCATCCCTATTGTTACAGCCTTACAGGTTCATGATTGTGCTTAAGGTTGATGCTTTGAGGTTCTATCTTATTGTATTTAGAGAGTCTATGGTCCTTGCTACATTTTTTCCATTAGTTAGCAGCAAAGATGTTTATATGACAGTGACTATAGTTTGTAACTTTGTATGCTGTAGCTGATTTAATTTTTTCTATCATAAATATTATCTGGTAGACATGCTCTTAAGAATTACTTCATATTTCTCATTTATAACTAGCGATTATCATGAATGCCCCAGGTTCTTACTTTTGATAATTTTATGTTTAGTTAGGAACATGGCTTGCGTAAAACTTCCCACCTAATAAGAAGGTACCATGCTCCAGTTATGCGTCTTGGGCACTAGAAATTAGTGAAAGTGACAGTAATGACCAAAGGGTGTTTGTAATGTGTACTGTGTTTGTAATCCTACCCCTTGCATCATAGGCTTATTGCTGTCTTGCTGAAAGGTGGTTGGTACGGAGTATTAGATTTCCTACTAAATTACTGTCTTGAGGTTGTCAGTAACTTGTAATTTATGTGAATCAAACTCATTTAGTAGCTAATTACTAAAGTATGTTTAATAAATACCTACAGAAGAGGATGTCAAGTTGTCAACTACTTTTGTGGTACCTTAAATTTGAATCAACTTTCATCAATATGTTGTGTCTTTTGTGGCTCCCATCTTCTTCAGCACTCCCTCTAGTTAGCGGTGATAGTAATACAGATAAAAACCGCAAGCTAAATCGAACCAAACCGATTTAATAATTTGAATTGGATTTTTTTTTTTCAATTCGATTTGGATTGAATTGGAAAAATTGCAAATTCGGTTTTTCGGTTTGAATTCGGTTGTGGGCTTCTCAAAACTGAAAAAAGGAACCAAATCGAAATATACTTTATATGCATGCTCAATTTGTAAAGAGTGTAAACTAGGCCCAATTTAAAGCCCATTGCTACCCTTATATATATATATATATATATATATATATATATATATATATATATATATATATATATATATATATATATATATAGGGTCGGGATCCGGTGAGAACCACCCTTTATGTGAGAACTAGCATTTATATGAGAATCAATACCAACCGTTAGATTTTATGAAATTCAACCGCTAAGATCTCCACTCTCACGTTCTCTTTCCTCTCCTTTCTCTCTCCTCCTCTCCATTTTCTCACGCATCTCTCCTCTCCATTGTCTTTGAAGCTTCAGAAGCGGCTCACCGCCGATATTCTCAAGTGTGGTCGTGGTAAGGTTTGGCTTGATCCTAATGAAGGCAATGAAATCTCCATGGCTAATTCTCGTAAGTTCTTTCTCTCTTCTTTGATTTCAATTTTCTTCGGTTGTCTTTTTGTTTTAGTTATTTTCAATCGATCGTCAGATTTTATTGTTTTCTACTTTTTCTGATGATTATCTAAATTAGAACCCTATAAATTCTTACGGTAGTTGATGTAGTGCTTTTTATGTGATTTTTCTGGAAAATAGTGATCGTTTGATGTATTATTGACCGAATTGTAGGAAGTATTATGAAAACATCGTAATTTTTTGTGAATTATATTTGTTGATTGATTTCATTAGTGTTTATTCTATAAACTTGAATTTGCAAATGACGATATATCTGCAAATTTCGGTTTTAATTTTGGAAGAAATTATTTAATTGATCAAGTTGAATGATTTAGTTCGTATTATGAATAAGTTATATGCTGTTATATTTACCTTGATGATTTTGTGATCTTGTAATGGTTTTGTAAAGTTCGTTGGAGTTGATATGGCTTCATTATGCAATTGAAGTTTATATTATGTTGATTGTTTTGGTAATTAGGTTTTTTTTTTTTTCTGTAAGATATGAATGAATAGGAATTTATGTTAAATTGATTTGTTTAGGTCAAAATATCAAAAAGTTGGTTAAGGATGGTTTCATTATTAGGAAGCCTGCCAAGATTCATTCAAGGTCTCGTGCTCGTCGTATGATGAAGGCGAAGAGGAAGGGTCGTCACTCAGGATACGGTATGCGCACCATTAACCTGTGTTAATTGTCGAATTTTCTTCTGTCTAAATTTGTTGGTTTGTGTATTGACTTAATGTGTAGCTGTTGTGTATGAAGCTCCTCACATTAAGTAGATTAGCTACCGGAAACACTGATGATCACTTAGAGAGCATTCAACAATAGTGGCTTGTGATTTAAATCTTGGTCTGATATTTCTTCTGGTGTGCCGTGTGATGTCTTGGCTAGTTTAGTGATAATTCTATGCTAGATCTCATAGTTTAAACATCAAATAGTTGAGGGATGGCTGACAAATGTCTTGTGTAAACTTATAATTCTAATTTTAAACGTGTTCATTCTAATTGGAAACTCCTTGTGCTGTATAGAGTCATCAGCCATTGTGTCATGGGCTTTCAAGAAAGAGTTGTGGAGCATGGTGATGTGAAGCAAGATGATCAATCAAGGGCTCTCAGCCTGCATGCATTTTCTGATTTGTCATGCGTTTCACCCGTTGTATTTCTTTTTTTATTAAAAGAATCTTATATCTATGGTAGTACTTCTGTGTTGCACAATATTATTAGGTGGTAGTTAATCACGATTATTTCTCATGTTCTTTACTCTTCTTTAAATATTTTTTGTGAACTAACTATTGTCTTGCGGACTCTTGCCTTTTCCTGTTCTATTGAGTTACTTCAAATACTTTAATCTGTATCATACAGGTAGGCGGCAAGTTCATTTGTCTCTTGCTCTAAAGTTATAGGCATCTGAAATTCTGGTTGTAATAAATGCTGATTTATGTTTTTTTTTATTTTCCTGGAGCATTCGGTATAGTGCATAGTCATTAGTCATGCATTTCTCTTGCTTGTTTATAAATTTTATCAGTTGACAAGTTGTTTTTTTTATCAATAAGGGAACTATGATTCTAGCTTGGCTGATAAAAATTGATGTTAATGAGGTTCAGCAAATAGGCATTGCAAGTAGAGTAGTAATGTCCAACTTTTACTAATTTATTATAGCCTTCTTTGCCAAAGAAGGTGAAGAGAGGAAGAGGTGACTTACAAACTTTATGTGTTTTGGAACGTGGTTTCTGCCATTGTACACGCTGTAAATTACAGGACTGTTTTGTCAAAAAAAAAAACAAATAATAAAAAATAAAATTACAAGGTCGTGCTTTCCTATATAGCAGTTAACATAGTACGACTATATGAGCAATCACTTTTGTTAAAGCTAAAACCCTAAGATTTCCTATTTGCAGTGTAGTTGGATTTTAAATTTGCAACATGTCATATGTGAACCTATTAGCTCAATTGGTAGAGCACTATGCTAATGCATAGGAGATGTAAGTTCAATTCCTACATAGGTTATCTTTATAAACAAAATTAATTAAAAAAAAAATCAAATTCGTACTAATTATAAGAGCAAAAAAATGGTTTGAAATGATTTATAACTATATAAACTTTGTTACAATTAAACTCTCATACAAACTTGTGTCTCCACTTACATAAATAAACCTACGTGGGATTCGAACCCACATCTTTTGTGCATTTGCACAATACTCTACCCTTGAGCTAGTAGGCTGACGTATTTAAAACATTCAAACACACTCACAAATGAGCATTAATTTGACAAAATGAGCAAATAATTAATTGCTCATTTGAAAAATGAGCATTAAATAATTTGTTCATTTGACAAATGAGCATTGAATTTTTTTGCTCATTTGACAAATGAACAAAAATATTATTTTTTGCTCATTTGTCAAATGAGCAAATAATTAATTGCTCATTTAAAAAATGGGCATTAAATAGTTTCCTCGTTTGACAAAGGAGCTTTGAATTTTTTTGCTCATTTGACAAATGAGCAAAAAATTAATTGCTCATTTGTCAAATGAGCAAATAATTAATTGCTCATTTGACAAATGAGCATTAAATAGTTTGCTCATTTGACAAAGGAGCATTGAATTTTTTTGCTCATTTGACAAATAAGCACAAAATAATTGCTCATTTGACAAATGGGCAAATAATTAATTGCTCATTTGTCAAATGAGCAAATAATTAGTTGCTCATTTGACATGATAAGAGGTTGAGAGAGATAGTCGAAGTACATTAGTACAATATCATTCACACACATTTATCTCATTTACATATGGCTGATAAAATTTTCATGATATGAAGTACTTTTTGCCTGAAGCTCAAAATGCTAAATAAGATCTTCTTTTATTGACATTTATATTTCATAAAGAGATAGTCACTGGTTAAAAGTGCCAATTACAGGACATATATACTAATTCATTACTTTTGCTCAAACAACGGTACCTGAAATTGAATTTACAAACCAAAATAGACACCTGTCCCTTAAATTGCAGCTTTAATAAAACTGAAGCAAATAATTAGTAACTCGAGCAGAAGCCACTTAGTCTATACACCAGGATTAAGAAATGTAAAGCATAAGTGGTCAGATGTGTACTCTTTAAGTTGAACCTAAAAATCACACAAAACAGTTCATCTATCAAGGAAACAAACTAGCAAACTTTTAGCCATTCAAGGTCAAATTTATATTACTAGTCGTCAACTATGTGTTCAGGACAAGGACCCTCCCTCACCTCCACATTGTACCTTTCTTACATTGATACATGCATTTGACTGAGAAGAACATTATGTGAGAATAAGGGTTGGACAAAAATTCCAGTTTTAGACAATGTGATTTGCCCATTTCTTGTTAGTTCATCTAGTTAGAAGGTACGTCATAACAGTAATACAATTAGAATACGTCACAGCAGCATGAATGATATTGTATAAAACCATTTAATCTAATGAATTATTCAGTTGAGACAAGTAGAACAAGATTAAGAAAAGCCATCCAATTCATATATGTTATTATAAGTCTAGCAAATTGATTGGGGGAGGGGGCCTCTAGAAGTCTAGAATATCCGAGCAATTACCTATAACTTCAGTTACAAGAGGCCTGATAATTTCATGAAACAAACAAGTATTTTATGGCAATGTTTGTTACTTTATCTAATTATATATACTGTATATAAAATAGACAAGATTATAAGGAAACAGATCACATACTTCTTCCAGTCGACGAGCTATCTCCTTTGTTGTGTGAAGCAGCTCATTATCAGTCTTCAAATGCGGTTTATCCATGTAAGCAATGACATTATACTTGCTCACACTTCCTAAAAACATTCTGCCACCAAACAAAGTTCACAAGTTTAGCAGCATTATGAATAAGTATTAGCCTAAAATATCATCCGGGTGAACTCAAAAGTCAGAAGAGAAAATTATATGCTCGAGTGTATGCTTTTGAATGATAACATCCTGATTAGGAATCAAGTGAGAATATCACTTATTCATAGACAGAAAACAATCTTGGGGAATATTACATAAGAAGATCATCAATTAAATATGTACTACATTTGAAATTGATAAAATAATAGGATTCATTGGGGAATATTGTCAAACACTTAGTGTGCATCAAAATTTAAGTACAAATTAGTGAAATGCAAGTACTAAAATTGACAAAATCAATCTCTATAACCATTCATAACCTCAGAAATTATAAATAAAAGTTCGAATTACACTATAAAGAACCCTAAATTAACAAAAGCATTTAATGATAAACTACTGAAATTGAAATCGTGATTTAAAAAAACAGAGAAAAATATCTTGAAATCTAAAGAAAACAAGGGGATGTTAGTAAACAACACAAATAACAAACGGAATCAACAACATTAACTTCCTAATCGACAATTCAGTAAGTTATAATTTATGAATTTCAATTAATGTTGACATTTTCAATTGGAATTTTATTATTTTTATTTTTTGTAATATGTGATGATTACCTTAAAAATCGCTTTAATGGAGGAGAATAAGTTTAGAGGTCGCTTCATGGGAGAGAGAAAGCTTAGATTTCGCTTCAATGGAGGAAACAAGTCTTAAGAATCTGCTTCGATGGAGGAGAGAGAGAGAGATGGGTATATGAAAGGTTACTGAATGTTTTTGGGGAGATAAAGCAAATGACGTGAATAATAAGATTGAGGGTATATGTTACATAATATTACGAAAATTCCATTACTCATTAATTAATCTCAACCTTCAAATGAAATGTAATCAGTGGTCTTGATTTGTTCTCACATAAGAAACTGGTCTCATATAAGAGAGGGGTTCTCACATGATCCTATTTCTTTATATATATATATATATATATATATATATATATATATATATATATATATATATATATATATATATATATATATATATATATATATATAAGAATACTCTTGTAAGACATAAGGAAGGCTCTTGTAAGAACTCTCCTCTATATAAGAATACTCTTATATATAAGAACAAATCAGGGCTGTTGATTGATTATGATCCAACCGCCCAAAATTACAGCCATAGTAATGGAATTTTTGTAATTTAGTGCATTAGTCATACACCCCTTCTCCTCTCCTTTTCACGCATCAACTTATCAATCTAAAATTCCAAGCAGCTACTCCGTATCTTTCTTTTCTCTCTCTTCCTAGTGTATTTTGGCGAAAATTCATCATCAAATTTTGGTATGTTTATCAATTTCATCATCAAGTTCTTTTTGTTAATCGATTGTTTCAATGTATAATGTTCAATCTATTTATTCATTCTTATTATGGCTATTTCACCAAATGTCACTAAATAATTTCAAAATTCACCAAATGCCATCAAGTTTTTCAAAATTCACCAAATGCTACTGAGGTTTAATACAATATCACCAAATGTCATTTCCGTTAGTTAACCGTCAGTGTCCGTTAGTTGACCGTTAGTTGACCCCACCACTTGCCACGTGTCACCTTCTGATTGGTCCGTTTTTAAAAAAAAATTAAACAAAAATTTAAAAAAAAAATAAAAAAAAACCAAAAAAATTAAAAAAAATATTAAAAAAAAAAAGAAAACCACCAAATTAAAACCAGCCACCCTGCCCCAACCTCCGCCACCCTACTCCCCACCCTAACCACCTCCCGCTGGCGCCGTACTACCCCTGAAAACGCGCGCCAGATCCAGCGACACCCACCTCAACCTCGAACCACCTTCCCCTTCCCCTAAACCACCTTAACCCCCCCTAAAACCCCCTTCCCTCGAAAAACACTCCCTCCCCACCGGCCGGCGCTAAAACCCCCTCCCCGACGTCGACAAACACGATTCGCCTCACCCTCTGCCATCTCCACTCCCTTTCCATTAAAACCGAACCCTAACCCTAACTACCTGAGCTCTTCGACCGTAGCTATGGCGGCACAATCCCTCAGGTTAGGGGCGAGAGAGGAGGAAAGAGGCACAATCCTTCAATCTCTTCGAAAAGTTCTCTAAATTGATTTCTTCTTTCATCATCAGAATAATCGAAGAAGATTATTGAATCGATGATGAAATATTAGGGTGTCAAACAAGTTCTTCGACTGTGGTAAGGGAGTACGATTCGAGAGGAAGGTGAACCCGAATTTTGCACTACTATCAATTTCGAACCCATCCTTAATTTCTTCAGCTGCAAATTAATTTCTTCACTGCTGCAAATTAATGGCGGGGCTTTTATTGTTGGTGCGAGGATCGAGAACGACAGCAAGGCTGCTTTTCGTGAAGGAGAGGGTTGGTTTCGGTTCGTTGGCTGTGGTTTGTGGGAGTTTTTGGTGGTGGAGGTTGGCTGCGATAGTCAGTCCGGTGCGTTGCAACGAGGGAAAAGGAGGGGAAAGGGAGGGGAGCCGGTGCAGGTCCCGGCGGTAGGGGCTGGGCTGGTGGCTGCTGGGGTGGTGGTTGGGGTTTGGGGTTTTCTTTTATTTTTTTTTATTATTATTTTTTTTTAATTTTTGTAATTTTTTTTGG